TTCAAGGTGAGCATCAGAGTTGATAGATCTCAGTTAACCCCCATTGACTCATTGAGAAGGGTACAAATTGTATTGTACTTGCTGGCAGCAGAGCTCCGAATGCATTAACCCTGTCTCTCTGTCTGTCTGTCTGTCTGCCTGTAGCAAAAACCTCTTTCACAATGCTTCTGTCTTCACAGCCGAGGTGGCTAAACTCGTTGAATCTAAAGCAGTATGATATGAGAATTAGCTTGGTCTGTGCTGAAAGAAGTTTACTATATTCAGCTAGAGCAAAGTGTATTTTTTTTTTTAAGTACAACCATTTTTTCCACCAGTGTGTGCTTAATATAATGTTTATTTAAATATCCTTTGAATTTGAATGAATAGGAAGGCAAATGCGTTTCAACGCTGGTTGAGTTAAAGCTCCATTAAGAACTCGAAGGAAGAATGAGATTTGACAGGTGAATAAACAGCTGCTGAAAGTGGTTGACACGGGCAAAAAATGTAGACTATGATTTAAATGAATTTGATTATGGTTTCGTGCACGGTCCATTAGACTGTCCAGGCTTAACAAGGCTCGATGGCGCCATCTTCTGTATATAAAGAAATAATCAAATACACCACCCTTCCAAAATTTGGGTCGTAAAAGTCTTTCTTATTTTGTAAAAGTCTCTTATGCTCCCCAAGGCTGCACTTATTTGGTCAAAAATACAATCAACCAGTAATACTCATAGTAATACTCTAACATTATAACAATTAAAAATAAATGCTTTATATGTTAATATATTTTAAAATTACATTTATTCCTATGACGATAACAATGAATTTTCAGCATCATTACTCCAGTGTTCAGAGCCAAATGATCCTTCAGAAATTATTCTAATTAATATGCTGATCCTCAAGAAATATTTACTTATTATTATCAGTGTTGAAAGCAGGTGTACGGTTTTTTGGAAACTGTGATAAATAGGATTTTTTAAAAATATAATTATAAAACATTACTTTATTCTTTATATATACACAGTGGTATGAAAAAGTGTTGGCCCCCTTCTTGATTTTTTTGCATGTTTGTCACACTGTTGAGTATTTCAATAATAAGCAAATGCACTCCGTGTCGAACTCAGTGTAACCTTCTTTATTCACCATCACTCGTGTACCCAAGTCATCCTTTTTCCAAACCTAACTCACATACTAGATTTCCCTCTAGAGGCTTACTCAGAACACCACATATCCCTCTCTCTTAAGAACAAACATACTATAGGGACATAGTCTCAGTGCAAATAGATAACAGTTAAGATACAATTTACTATTGACTTTTCTCTTTGCAACCTTCCAATCCCAACATTGTGATTTGCAAACAAAGCTTTTTTTTAACAAATATTGGTACCGTAATGCAATTTCCAAACACTTGGTATAAGCATCACATAATAGTACTCAAACACAATATTCACAGAACAGCAAGAACATTATTTTCCTTATACTGCATAAATGCACACTGTGTACTAGTAATGCACCTTTTACATTACATAATCCTGAGTCCATGCAGGTGCATGCCTGCTCCGAACAGGTCGTGTAACTACTGCAGGTTGTTCACTCCCTACAGGATTAGTATCCCCAGAGTCAAACAATGGCAGTTCACTAGACTCATCTGCTCTGCATGGAGCAAGTGCAGGTGCCAGGTGGGATGCATTCCAGCATCGTCCATCTGACAGCTTATATGTGTACAGTCCTTTCTTACCCACAACCTTCAGGGGTTTTCCAAACTTAGACTGGGTCTTTGGCACAATTCCGGGTTTCTTTACACGGACATACGATCCACACTGAAATGAAACATGCTTTGCACTGCGTTTTCTGTCACAGTACTGTTTAGTTTTTTTCTGTTTCTCTCTCACATGTGAGGCAAGCTGGTGAGGTGTGAGCCTTTTGTCTGCAGGTGGCAAGCAAAGACCTGAGACATTAAGTTTGGTTAACATGGCTCTCCCATGCAAGAGTTCAGTTGGTGTGCACTGTATTGTGGCATGTGGCGTTGCACGGTATACCTGCAGAAAGTCTTTGGTGAACTCCTTCCACCCTCTTCCTTCCAGTGAAGCAGTTTGTAAACTATCCTTTAAGCTGCGATTGAAACGTTCGACTTCCCCGTTTGCTCTTGGGTAATACACAGATGATGTCCTGTGTATGATTCCTCTGTTTTGCAAGAACAGTTTGAAGTCGTGTGAAGTGAACTGTACTCCATTATCAGAAATCAGCTCTTTCGGGTTCCCTTCCCTGCTAAACACTGTAGACAAGAACTGCATCACGGCCTGGGTGGTAGGATGTGAGACAAATGCTATCTCAGGCCACTTACTGTAATAGTCCACCAGAGTGACCACAAAACGACAATCAGCAGGTGCTGCATCAAAAGGACCCATGATGTCTATGGCCACTTTCTCCCAGGTGTCAGTAGGGTAAGGTACAGGTTGGAGTGGTTTGGTATGTGTGACAGCCGATTTGTCATGTAACTGACAAGTGACACATGCTTTGACAGCTGTTTCTACTTGTTTGTCCATGCCAGGCCACCAGTAGAGCTCTCTCAGCCTCCTTTTTGTCCTCACAATGCCCTGATGTGTATCATGTGCGAGTGTGATGAACTTGGGCTGGAGACATTCTGGAATCAGAAGGCGTGTGGTTCCACGCACCACGCAACTATCCTGGAGTGAAAGTGCCGCACTTGAAAATACGGCTTTAACGCATGATCCAGTGCCTTTGCACACTGTGGCCATTTTGAGGTAAGCAGTCTGCGTAGCTCAGCTTGGATAGGACAAGAATCACATGCCGCTTTGAACTCAGAGCTGGTTATTGCAGTGAGTGTAGAAGTGAGAGCTACGACTTCCAAATCATGTTCCAGACTAGGTTCAGTACTAGGGAGTGGTAAGCGAGATAGACAGTCTGCAGTCACATTCTCATGCCCCGGCTTATACTGAATATCATAGGTAAATGCCATCAGCCTAGCTGACCATCTTGCTATGCGCATACCTGCTCTGCCTTGACCCTTAGATGACAGAAGGGTGGTCAGCGGGCTGTGATCTGTCCGCAGTGTGAAGTGTCGTCCCCACAAGTAGGTCCTCCAGCGCTCTGTGGCCCAAACACATGCTAGTGCCTCTTTTTCTACTGTGGAGTACTTCCGTTCTGTGCGTGAGGCAAAAGCCACTGTTCTTTCCGTATTGTCTGCGTGTATCTGGGTAAGAACACCTCCTATCCCGTAGGTTTACTTGTGTTATCTTTGACTAATATTTAAATTTGTTTGATGATCTGAAACATTAAAGTGTGACAAACATGCAAAAAAATAAGAAATCAGGAAGGGGGCCAACACTTTTTCACACCACTGTATGTATATATATATATATATAGGAATATACTGTAGTAGGCCTAAAGTAATGTTTTATATGCATGTGTGTGTACTTGTTTATGCTACATTGTGGGGACCAAATGTCCCCACAAGGATAGTAAAACCTGAAATGTTTTGTTTTTGCCTGCGGTCCCCACGATGGAAAAAAAAAATGATTAAAAATAGTAAATGATGTTTATCTGAAAGTGTAACAATGCAAACAGGTTTTCTGTAAGGGGTAGGTTTAGTGTTAGGGGATAGAAAATATAGTTTGGTCAGTATAAAAGTAATAGAAGTGTATGGAAAGTTCCCACAATTCACAGAAACGTATTTATAAAGGAATATACCGTAGTATAACACAAACACGTGTGTGTGTGTGTGAGAGTGTACGCGTTTTTGTGACAAATGAGGATATACATTTGTATAATGACAGAGGTATGACAGGTATTACAAGGAGAAGGTGACTTTTCAGGACATTACCCCATGTCCCCACTTTTCAAAACGCTTATAAATCACACAGAATGGAGTGTATTGAAAATCTGAAATAGCACAAAGTTTCCTGTAAGGGGTAGGTTTAGGGGTAGGGTTGGTGTAGGGCAATAGAATATACGGTCTGTACAGTATAAAAACCATTACGCTTATGAGATGTCCCCACTTTTCACAAAAACAAACCTGTGTGTGTGTGTGTGTGTATAAAGGAACATAGCTTACTATAGTAAAGTTTTCAGTAAAAAAAGATATTCAAGAGATGCATATAGACCAAAAGGTCAAAGGTGAATCCGAAGCATTTCATTGTTATTTTATTCATTTCCAAAGGTATGACATAGGTATTACAAGGAGAAGGTGACTTTTCAGGACATTACCCCATGTCCCCACTTTTCAAAACGCTTATAAATCACACAGAATGGAGTGTATTGAAAATCTGAAATAGCACAAAGTCTCCTGTGAGGGGTAGGTTTAGGGGTGGGGTTGGTGTAGGGCAATAGAATATACGGTCTGTACAGTATAAAAAACCATTACGCTTATGAGATGTCCCCACTTTTCACAAAAACAAACCTGTGTGTGTGTGTGTGTATAAAGGAACATAGCTTACTATAGTAAAGTTTTCAGTAAAAAAAGATATTCAAGAGATGCATATAGACCAAAAGTTCAAAGGTGAATCCGAAGCATTTCATTGTTATTTTATTCATTTCTATTAAATTTCGTTTTGTAAAAGCAATGAAACAACAAATATAACACTATAAAACAATATACTATTTTATACAAATATATGTAGCCTATATTAAAAAGTGTTTACGGCGTATTATTTGACCAAAACTGGCAAAATCACTCAAAGACGACATCAGATTTCGTTAGGTGAGATGAAGTGACGATTATTATTATTATTTACTTCTGAATTTTCGCACATAAACCGTTCACATATGCTGCGGTTACGTAAAGTCAGCTTTTCGACAGAAGGTGAGTGCTTAAAACATAGTTAAAATATGTGTTTGAACGAACAACGAAGAACCGTTACATAAAAGGATTACGTCGTGAATGAAGGGTGCGAAGCGAAGCTGTCGTTCGACGAGCCGGATCTTCGACGTAACTACGTGAGTCCACTGGGTGGCGCAGCGAGGCAGGGCAGTAGCTCTCTTTCTATAAACAACCCCCCAAAGAAACGACGGCGAGAGGTGGAGCCGCTGAGCTGACAACTGTCAAAAGACTAAGAGCCCTTCCGTCCTCAAAGCATCTTGTCGTAGCGCGTTAGAAACCGTTATACGCCACGTGATTGAAGTGAGTATCCTGTATCTCGTGAGTGTAACGACGTCTCTGTCGCTATTCCGTTATCTCGGAGCCGTTTCGGATGAGCGGTTCGCACTTTGGCAGGTTTTAACGGACTGCATGTCTTCCTGGAGACCCACTGAGAAGGTGAGACGACCACGAGTGTGTATGAACGCTAACTTACAGTTTCAAAAGCAGTCTGCCTGTTTAGGGGACTAGTCAACATGACATGCGAGCTGTAGAAATGATAACTAGTAAATAAACGCAAAAGCTGCATAGCTAACTTACATAATGTGTAGTTGTATTCTCGTTTGGAGAGTCTGTTCGTGAATATTCATCACAGAACTATGTGCTGTTCCCTCCGAGAAAACATTTCATTTGCATCCACGTCGGGAAGGAAACAAAATGCCCCCGTTTTAACAAGAAACGTTTCAAATTGGCGCAAATATTAAGAGAACCGCCAAAGTAAGAATGGAAACTCGCTTTGCCCTCTTCTGTGGACTCCAGATCATTACCGTGGTGTATAAAGTGATGTTTGTTGCATGGTTATGCATGTTAGTTAATAGTATTTAAAATAATGGAGTAAATATATAATATTATTATAATATAAAATCATATATTTGTGACCCTGGACCTCAAAACCAGTCATAAGGGTTATTATTTTTCAGAAATTGAGATGTATACAATATCTGAAAGTTGTATAAATACGTTTTGTCCATTGATGTATGGTTTGTTAGGATAGGACAATATTTGGCCGAGATACAGCTATCTGAAAATCTGGAATCTGAGGGTGCAAAAAAATAAAAAATCTAAATAATGAGAAAGTCGCTTTTAAAGTTGTCCAAATGAAGTTCTTAGCAATGCATATTACTAATCAAAAATTACGTTTTGATTTATTTACGGTAGGAAATTTATAAAATATCCTCATGGAACATGATCTTTACTTAATATCCTAATGATTTTTGGCATAAAAGAAAAATCGATAATTTTGCCCCATACAATGTATGGTTGGCTATTGCTACAAATATACCTGTGTTACTTATGACTGGTTTTATGGTCCAGGATCACATTTGTTGTTGGCCGTAACATGAACATCTGTAGTATATTAGTAGTCCTTTCACCTTGAATAAAGTGTACAAAACAATAATACTTTGTACAAAATAATAATACAGACTATACACAATATTCTTTCCAAACAGTTCTCTTACCAGTTACATTTTGGATATGATGAATAAATCATCAAATGAAAGGAAAAAATAAATAAATAACGTTAAGGGGGTCATATGATGTTGCTAAAAAGAACATTATTTTGTGTATTTGGTGTAATGAAATGTGTTTATGCGGTTTAAAGTTCAAAAAACACATTATTTTCCACACACTGTACATAATTGTTTCTCCTCTATGCCCCGCCTTTCTGAAACGTGTCGATTTTTACAAAGCTCATCGGTCTGAAAAAGCGAGGTGTGCTCTGATTGGCCAGCTATCCGGTGCATTGTGATTGGCCGAATTTCTCAAGCGTGTGACGGAAATGTTATGTCCCTTACCATACTGTGATGCCTACGGCAACCACATGTGACGACCCCGGGCTGGACTCCGCTTCGTCCACGGTGAAAGCCGATCCGGCGATCGACAGCGCGAAGTTGAAGTGTTTCCTCAGCGACCAGCACGGATCAGCTCCAGGCATGACGAAGCGATATCGTCCACTTTTGGAGGCCAAACAAAGTAGTTTCGCTTTCACAATCAAACACACAGCGCATTCACAACATGGCGGCAGCGGCAAATCACATAGTGAGGTAGATATGTGGGGGCGTGTTAGAACGAGCTGTTTTAAGTAGGTGTGGCTGACTCTTAACTTTTATAAAGAATATCTCTTTGGATTTGAGACTTTAGTCTTTGCAACTTTACAGATCTTCTTTATGCACCAAGAGCTTGAAACACTCCAAAGAGAAAGGAAAACTTTGCATCATATGACCTCTTTAATAATAGAAAAGTTGTATTAAAATTGTATTTAAATTTATATGTAAAATATCTTAATCATGTATAACAAAAAAGATCAAGAAATAAATGAGATGATGAATTTAATGAACACAGCTGATCTGAAAGACAACACTGTCAGTTTAAAATAGCTGTTAGAGGGATTATTAGCTGAAGATGGGGATTTAGTTTTAAAGCACTGGACGTGTTGCATCAAACAGCCTCTAAAGTTGGTGTAAATAACACTTCAGTTCTCAATCATCAGGTCATCAGTTTATATATTGTGTCATTGAAAGCATCTGTTACTTATTTGAAATGTATAGGTTTTGACAGAGATACTGATACATTCGAATTGCCAATTAAACTTGGTCAAACTTTGCATCTTGTCTCATCTTAGTGTTTTCCTCCAACATTGGCTATTGAGTAGTTTGTAAATGTGCAGGCATGTTTTAATGCAGCTTGAGAGTAGTAGCACAATCAATCAGGATTAAGGATTTGTAGGGAAAAAAGAATAGGTGCTTTCATTACAAACCATGAATGCTGTGTTAAAACAAACAAGAGCGTCGAATGAGTGTTTGTTTGTATTTCTCCATCTGCACAGAAGGGTGGATTCCTAGCTAATTAAAGTGTAAAGTTCTGTTGTTGAGATTATCCAACTAAAGGGACTTAATGGAACTGATTGAAGGGGAACTGGAGGTCCGTGGTTTGGGAATTTGCTCCACGTGTTCTCCTTCACATAATCTGCTGCTAAAAGCTCCGTCACCCTGCACGGGATGAGCCTGCCGTTTGAGATTAGGAATTACACAAAGATCAATATCTGACTACACTTTGTGACTGCAATGACAAGCTGTGGACAGCGTCTTATTAAATGTCATGTTTATTGTCGTGTTTTTCATCCTGGTGATCTGATTCACAATGTTTTCTTGTTTTCCTGTGAGCAGTCAGTAAGGATGTAATGAGTAAATGTAATAATAAAGAGGGAACATTTAATCCGGGTTCTTATCGTTAACTAAAACAAATACTTAAAAAAAAACATTTTTGTTAATTGAGATAAAAGCTGAAATAAAATAAAGAAATTAAATAATACAAAATTAAATTAAATAAAAACATTTGATGAAATGTTGCCTTGGCAATTAACTGAAAAGGGTTAAGTTGATGCACTAAAATTACTGACTGGAAATAAACAAAAACTGAAAATAAATAGTTAGTTATATATAAAAAAAACTAAAATAATGACAATAGGACATTACAAAATTACTAGAAATTAAACTAAAATTAGATGAAATCTGAAATAAAAGCTAACTTAGAAAAATTATGTGTATTACTATTATTAATATGTATGTGTGTGTGTGTGTATATATATATATATATATATATATGAGCAGTAGTACTAGTCTTGAGTTATCAGTCACCACTAATAAGCTAAAGTACTTTTAACATTTTTTATATATATATATATATATATATTAATGTGTTCTGCAGAGATGTCAAGGCGAAGCACAAGGTTAGTGTCCAAAGAGCCGTCCTTCCCTGATGATGACGCTGCCAGCACGAGCTCCACCGGATCCACTGGCCACATCACTTACAAAGAGAGCCCAACCAGGTGTGTTTGTATTTGCTGGAGCTCTCAGTACATCATATAGATAGTTTGCATGTGCATTTTCACCTGCTACAGATGCTTTCTTGCAGGATCTTCAAGAAGAGGAGTGGCCGCAAGAGCACAGGCAGTGTTTCCCGCAATTCAAGCCGCGCGAGCAGTGTGAGTCAGTTACTGACTGGGCAGCGCAGTGAATTCACTGCCGCTGAGAATGAGAATGGTAAGTATCTGCACATACAGAATCTGTAAAAATAAATAAATATTATACATACATACATATTAAATAATACATTTATTGTAAGTAATGTATAATATTAATACATTACATTGCATATTAGAAAAATTATACACATCAATATATATATATATATATACACACACCTATCAATATACACACACATATATATATACAGTATATATATAATTACATTTTGTAAAATAACTAAAATCTAAAATATATAATAAACATTTCATATAAACATTATTTATTTTTAGTGTCTCTGTTTTTCAGGCATGCCCTTTGCTACTCAGGGATTCTCCTCTGGATATTCCTCGGCTGAGGAGCATTATGAACAATCCATAAAATCAAACCCTAGTAAGTGCGAATTAAAAATTGTATTGGGGGGGGAGATCACTGGCTAGTTGGTTGGTTGGTCACGCAAAGAATGTTGAAAAACATCTACTCTCTGTTTTCCCTTTTCTCCAGGTTCTGCCCAATCTGTAGCTGAACCACAATTTGTCGTGTGGGACGTGTTTCATTCTCCAGGTATTAAATGTATAAACCCTCTCTTCACCCCACTAACATGAACAATCAGGCTTTTTTCCTACTGTAGTCATGTGCTCATGTGTGTGTTGCAGCTCAGGCTCTGGTTATGTTCTACTGGTGGCTGGGAAGTTCATGGTACAGCCTGACCTCTCGACTGTCTCTGATCAATGTGTTTCTGCTCAGCAGGTACAGCAGCAGATTTCTAATCTGAAGTCCAGCATCTCAAACCTGCAGTCGGCCCAAGACCTCGTCAAGGAAAGAGTTGATGCTCAAGACACTCTCAACATTAAGGTAAGGGTGCTTTTAGCGCATTTCAATTCCTTTGATGTGATGAATGCAGTTACTTATTATTCAACTAATGATGTCATTTCCTCTGCAGCTGAGAGCAGAGCTATCCGATTGGCTAATAAAACTCCTGAAAGATCCAAGCTCATTGGAATCGACCATAGTGCTCCGTCCTGAGCTGCAGAGGGCGCTGGAGGATCTGGAGAAAGGGATACTAGACAAACTAGTGCATGAGAAAGAGAGCAGGAGAGATGTCTGGAGGACTGTGGGAGAGACGCTGCAACAGGAAGGAGCCGGAGCGGTCACTATACAAGTGTGTGTCTGTGTCTAATAGGATGACAAATGTAGAATTAGAATGGTAAAGAAAAAAGTCTAATTTTAAAGTACACATCAGGATCATGATGCCTTTTAATGAGATTTTTTTTTTTAAATATGTAACAGGATGTGAAAGAAATCATCCACAGGGCAGTTAGTCTGTACAGGGCGGATGGGATTGGATTGGCGGACTATGCCTTGGAATCTTCTGGTACTAATTTCCCTTGTATATATATATGTATGTGTGTGTGTGTGTGTGTGTGTGTATGTGTGTGTTTGTGCAGGTGCCAGTGTGCTCAACACCCGTTGCTCAGAGACGTATAAGACCAGATCTGCGTGTCTGAGTTTATTTGGCATTCCTCTGTGGTATCATTCAGAAAGCCCTCGGACTGTTATACAGGTAACAGATCACACAAACACTGACACAGATCTGACTCTCTAAGCTTCTGTGTGTGTGTGTTGTAGCCGGAGCTGTATCCTGGGAAGTGCTGGGCATTCCGAGGCTCCCAGGGTTTCCTGGTAATCTCGCTGTCTTACCCAGTAAGAATCACCCATGTGACACTCGAACACCTTCCCAAAGAGCTCTCACCGACAGGCCGCATTGACAGCGCCCCGAAGGATTTTGCTGTCTATGTGAGTTGTGATATGTGATATTTCAATGGGGTTTTTTAATCATCTGCATAACAATGAAGCAACAGCTTTGAGATTCCTCGGCTGTCCTGTGTTCAGGGTATGTCTGATGAGACTGAAGATGGAAAGCTGCTTGGTACATTCACGTATGACCAGGATGGAGAGCCCATTCAGACTTTCAAGCTTGCGGTGAGTCCAAATAGACTATTTATTATCTATCATCATCATTATATCATGGTAGCACATGTTGTATTTCTGTGTTTAATATTTACATTACTGTTTAGAAGTTGCTTTTTTTTTAATCAAAAATGCAATAAAACGGTCATGTTGTGAAATATTATGTCAATTTAAAATAACTTTTAAATTGTTTGAATGTATTTTAAATATCATTTATTACTGTGGTTGTAAAGCTGAATTTTCATAAAGCTGAATGTCACATGAAGTTTCAAAAATCGTTCTAATATGCCGATTTGCTGCTCAAGAAACATTTCTTATTCGTTTTATTAGTGTTAAAAACAGGTGTGCTGATTAATATTTTTGTGGAAGCCGTGATATATTTTTTACGATTATTTGATGAATAGAACGTTCAAAAGACCAGCATTTATTTCAAACTTAAATCATTTGTAGCATTCTAAAAGTATTTTCTTTCTGTCACGTAGGATCAATGCATCCTTATTGAATAAAAGTATGAATTTCACAAATAAAAAAATCTCACTGACCCAAAATTTTTCAACAGTAGTGTTTATTTACACTGATTTAAATCAAATAATTTAATAAAACGTCTGGACATATCAATAATAATAATAATTATTATTATTATTGAGGGCAAAATTTTTTTTTACCAATATAGGCGTAATTTTTTCTATGTAAAATATAGTTTATATATACATATAAATTAATTATACATTTATTAAAAAATATGTATATTTTTGGGCTACCTAGGTATGACCTAGATACGATCTTGTGAAAATTCTAGTAAAATAGTTTGTGTTTTCTTGACTGTAGGAAGCGTCAGAGATCTATAGCATGACCGAGCTGAGGATCTTGAGCAACTGGGGTCACCTGGAGTACACCTGTGTGTATCGCTTCAGAGTTCACGGAGAACCTTCATTCGTCTGAGAGGAAGAGGATCTGAAATTATTCTTCAGCTTTGGTTTACTCTATGCAAAAAAAAAAAATGTAAAGCTCAAATGCACTGGATTTAGCTTCCTAATGTACGAATACCAAAAAAGCGCACACAAACGGCCGACTGATATCAGAATGTAGATCGTTTGCCCGCTCCAAAAATATTTCAGTTTTGCATTCCTCAAACATTGATTTTCAAGTGCTGATAGGAAAGTTTTTATGAAAAGGTGTACATTTTTTAGCTGTTTATACAGTTTTGAATTAACTTTTGTGATTTATTGAATTTTTTTTCATATGAAGGACAGGCTTATATTGTGTGTAACAGCAAATATGGTTTATAAAACCAAATGAAGGACAAAAAGTGTCATGCTTAGCTGGAATTACCATAAAGCAGCATTTGTTTTATCCTCAGTATGTGTTTTGCAACGATATATGGTTCTGAAATGTGTTTATTCACGTCATTGAACCATATACCTCTTAACTGCTTCTAATAGTTTATTGTTTAGGTATGTCCTTTTGTAACGATGCTGTTTTCTTTGAGCAGCAGCTCTGATTGCACTCTTGAGACGTTATTATTTTCCGCCCCGGCTGACGAGTATAGATAGGTACTAGATGGTGTATGTCTCCTCTGCGGGACAGGGGAGGACTGGAGTCAAACTCAGGTTTTGGGTTTTCAAACCAAAGTGCTCTTGAACGTCCCAGATTATATAGTTCTGTTGTCCTCTATTTGTATATATGTGCTTAATGATGCAGTTTTTCAAATGCACACTTAAAAGGTATAAATATTTGCTTTGTCTTATTTGATTTATTTTGGCATCCTTTCTCATCGAGCTTAATAGAGCTTTGATGTTAATTTGGCAAGTTTACATGAAGTTTCTGTCACATTATAGATATTATTTTGTAAAAAATAGGATTTTTTAAAATAAATTTGAGATGGTACATAATACTGTGTGAATGCTAATATAAATGCATGAGTTGCACACATAAGACATTTTCATGCAGATCTGCATGTATAGCACTGCACTGCACTGATCTTTCCATGCTTCATTTAATAATTCATGACTAAAGTTCATCCAAATCATTTGCATGGTTTATACACTGACAATTCAGCAACTTATTTTTTAGACCTGGCTCAATTTGAATTTGACATAGATAACACTTTTTTTCACATGCATCTCAGACTGCTGTATGTGACCACACATATACATGTCTCTATCACTTGCATGTATTTAATACTAATAAATAAAGAGGGTGCTAATATTTTTTAACCACACTTTTCAGAAGTTGTTTTGCGTCTGCATTCCCTAGTGTGGACACATCTATACATATCAAACACAATGAGAAGAATCCGGTTTCATTTATCTATGACTGACCAGAGTCATTTCACCACACCCTCACAAATGCTGTTATGAAAGGCCAAAACTTCACTACATAACACTGACAGGGTTCATTTGCTTTGCTGAATTAGAAATTCAACTGTTCAACTTACTTTTCTTGAGGGTCGTGATTTCTGCAGCTCTAAGCTAAAGCAGTGGTTATTATAGGTCTTCTAATAAATAACACCAGTTTCAGTTGCTGGAGTTTTATCTATTAAGTTGAATCAGTTGTGTTTGATTAATCAGAACCACTTGTTGGACACCACCCAAACACTGATCCTCAATTCATTCACAAACACTATTTTTTTTCTAACAATTTTATTTCCATAACAGAAGTAAAACTGAAAGCAAAAAACTAAATAAATTAGGTGATCTAATAAATACAGTATGGTAAACAAAACAAAAAACCGGTAAGATGTTTTCATTGTCTTACAGTATTGACTACCATGATAGTGCATCAAAGAAAAGAAATATTCTACATTATAAAAACAGATGAAAATGGTACAGCTATTAAAATCACACTATAAAACTACAATGTCTTAGACATAAAATTCACCTATTTTACATTCATTATTTACAGTTACAGCGGAAAATCACCAAACTCTCCATAGGCTTTAAAATACGTGTTTCTTCGACAATTCCACACAACACACATCAGTGATTTCAGTGGGACACGCTCGTTCTGAGAGTTCACGTGAACATGCATATGATCTGAAACACACACACACTCGTGTCTTTCTGATGTGTACAAAACCTCAAACGTACACACAAGATGCTCCCGTATGGAATGCTGTGAGGGTGAATATGTATTCAGGATGCTGGTGTTGAAACAGAAATTAATTTGACCTGTTGTATCGCTGGCCAAATAATCACACGCACACACTCAAACTCCACTCAAAAGTGAAAAAAACCTAATTTACAGGTATTTGATGTCTAAAAAGTGACAAATCATATACTGTAGGTGATTAATTAGAGGTGAACAGCAACTATGTAGGTTTTTTTTACCTAAGAACAAAAATGTATTCTGGAGTGTTTAAAAACCGGAACAATGTATTATATATATGCTTACATAAGTAAAAACCTCATTTGATGACTGATGTGTTTAAAAATCACAAATACTTATGGATGAACTATCAAGGGTGAAAATACTAGGTTAAAAAAGAAGAAAAAAGGAAAACTACAAGTCTAAAAAATGTCAAGGCACATTGGAGCCAAGCATACTGTGTTTCCAAACGTGTCAGAGCAAGCTGAACAGCAGATGATGCTCAACAGACACATGGTTTGTACTAACAGCATCATCAATGGTCTGGTTTCGCAGCTCTTCCATCTGATGAAGAGGAAGAGGAAGGCTGTTCAGTGCACTCTAATCATGCCACGAGTCGCAGTGCATTTTGGTCGCTCTCCGTGTTTCCCAACTTGACCATTTTCCCTCAACTGGAGGGAGTCGGCTGTGCAAAACGCATAAACTACTGACATCTGAACTCATGAGTGACATTATGAATGTCAGATATTTGCTGTACTTTATGATCAACATTCACTTGCACTGATGCTAATACTTTCATTAAAGAGTACATCTGATTGTGCATTATAAAGTGACGACCTTTCAATAAAAAGTTGGGTTGATGTAATATTCGGTGACAAGTAACAATGAAACGATTTAAGAAATGTTCTGTTTGTCTCCTCCTGGAGTGATCATAACTATCTGCATTTCACAGAGAAAGCTAGTGAACTTGTTACAAAATATAAACACATTTAAAAGCATCTTGCAAAAGCAAGAACAGAAGACATTGATATGAATATAGGGACAAAAAATGCTTGCTATGCGGAAGAGTTTTAACATTAAATGTACATGTATGACGTCATATTGTTTCAATGGATGACATCATAGATTACATATTTTGGGGCTTTTAGTTAAACTATTTTTATTTTTAGGACTAAAAAAATCATAAATATATATATTTATTTTTTTAAGCCAAGCTGACTTCGGTTTATCAAGGCCACAACCCTTTTATGATGGAGATAGAGTTATCTGGAATACAGAATTGAATTGTCAGTCTGCATATGTTTGGCCTGTGGCTTTGTGACGTCAACAGCGTAGCGGCTCGGTCAGGAGTGACCCGAAGACAGTCCATTTTTTACTCTCTCATAGCACAGCAGAAGTAACAGTTAAGAAAAAACATAAAACCTAGCAAGACTAGCCAAAGCGATTCCAAAGCAAAATACGACACCTCAAAGATGTCTTAAAACGATAATCTTTCTGATAAAAGGAATATGATAACTACTCTTACTCCCTTGTCTCCTGAAGCCACCAGGGAGCGCGGGGGGGGGAAATGTTTGATTGACAGCCCGCTGACCCCTTCTCCTCAGTAGCTGCGTGCAGAAGAGTGACCAGGTGAGGGAGGTGGGGTTAGAGGAGGGGTTTAAAGTTGAGAGTCCGCCCCCAGGCTGTTGAGCTCCTCGGGTGAGTGCTTCTCAGCACCTGATGCTGCCTGGCGGAAACCGGCGGAGATTTCGTCGAATGTCCGGCCCTTGGTCTCTGGGACTTTGAAGTAGGTGAAGACGAAGAAGCACAGTAAAAATATAGTGAAGATGATGAACACGTACGGCCCACAGAGCTCCTGTTAAAGCGCAGAGAGAATAAAGTTAACCCGGTCAAATACAAATGTGCCTGTTTCCTTGATATAATTCTCACTGGCCTCTTACCTCGACATACTGGAAGCACATGCCCACGATAAAGTTCGCTGTCCAGTTGGAGAATCCTGCAACAGCAAAAGCAGAGGGTCTTGGGCCTTGACTGAACAGTTCAGCCACAATGAACCATGGGATGGGGCCCGGTCCGATCTCAAAGAAGGCCACGAATGCAAAGATTGCTACGATGCTCATGTAGGACATCCAGTCGTACTTTTCCTGTTAGAGAGATGGGCAATAAGGCAGTGAGATCAAATATATTGTAAACCTTTGGACCTTCAGGATGACTATTTGAATGATTAGTAACTCTAAACATCAACACCATGGCATTTAAGTAAATATGTAAATATTATTTGCATATTATTTGCATACCAGCAAGGCAAGCGCGATGGTCATCAGTACAGCAGATCCAGCCATTCCCAGCAGTCCCAAGAGGTGCAGAGACCTGCGGCCCACTCGCTCAACCACAAACAGCTGCGTAACAATAACAAATCATATTAATATGATGCAAAATGCTGATTAATACTTGCTCATTTTGTGATTAATATCATCATTGAATAACTGTTTGATTTAACAATTATCAGAAGAGTTGGTACTGTCTTGCGTTAAAATGTAAATGAATTTATGCAAATAAATTGTGTAAAATAAATAAATAATAATTAAATAAACAATTTAAATACATTTTATTACATTTTCATAATTGATTTTATATATCAAATATCGGAAATTTGCCATTTGATAAATAGAGTATATATAAATTCATGTAAATTCAATGCCTGTCGTTTATGTATTTTAAATATTTACTATTTATATATTAATATCATGCAATATTCATTACTCAGACATGAATTTTGAGGGAAATTATGTAAAATAATAACAATACTTAAATATGTATTATTTTATCTTTTATTATACATCTATGAATTTTAGTAAATGTAAATTCACTATTCATTCTTTTATTTTATACATATAATTAATAATATATGCTATGTATATAAATAAATAAATAATGGTTCATGCTGATGTCTGTTTGCATACCGATACTCACCGACACAACAGTGAAAGCTGTGTTGACGACTCCTGCTCCAATAGTGGCATAAACCGGCTGCTGCACACCTGCCTTCTCAAAGATCTTTGTAGAGTAGTAGAATATCTACACAACAATGTGTTAACACCAGTTAGTCATGAAAATCGAGTTTACGTAAAAACAGTGACGGTACAGGCCCAAGGTTTGTCTTTGTTGTACTAGTAAACGTGTGCGCGTGCAGGTACTCACAGCATTGATTCCAGACAGCTGCTGGGACAGCTGCAGCATGATGGCTATAGCGATGGGCTGTCGGTAGAGCGGAGAGCGGAACAGTTCAGGAATGGTCACTTTCTTCTCTCTCATCATCTGTCTGCTCTCCTCCTTCATCTCCTGCATGTCTGCGCTCACATCTGTCATTCCGCGCAGCTTTTTAAGCACTAAAGGCACATGAAAACATTTGTTTACACTGATGAAAACACTCCTACGCTGGATAAATGGAGATGTTTAGGTGCTGTGGGTCTGTGCTCACCTGATTTGGCTTTGTTTTCCTCGTTGCGGATGATGAGGAGAAATCGAGGGCTCTCAGGGCAGAAGGGCAGTAAACAGCACTGCAGCAGGGCTGGGATAAAGGTGAAGCCAAGGAGGAACGGCCACATGGTGGCATTACCCATGATTGCGTCCATACCAAAGATCTAAAATACAATAAACAGCACATAAATATGGAGAAACACCCAAATGGTGACTGAAACTGCAAAAAAACGTCCTGAGTACATATGTACCTGAGCCATGAGGATGCCAATAACGATGCCCAGCTGATGAAGGGTGCCCAGGGCTCCTCTGAGGGCTGTGGGGGCCACTTCACCCACGTACATGGGCACAAAGCCAGTGGACAGACCAGAGTAAAGGCCCACCACGAACCGCCCAGTAATGAGCATCTCCCAGGACGCCCCCATCTTAGAGAAGCCCATCAGTGCTGCGGCGATGAAAGCCAGGACATTGGCCATGAGCATGGAGTTCCTCCTGAAATGAGAAAAATAGGAAGAGATTTATAATACAACGTTAAAATCATCAGAAACAAGGACTGAATAGTATACAAGGAATTAAATAATGTAAAAGACAGTGCCATAATTAATGTTAAAACAATATCAGTGGTTACGACTGTATTTCACCTTCCAAAGCGGTTGACAAACAGCCCGACGGAGAAGGATCCAATAATGCCACCCACAGAGAAGATGGCCACAGACAGAGACCACAGGGTAGTCATGGTTGTTTTTTGGATGTTATCCTTATATCGATCATTCCATGTCTCATTGTAGAAGGCCTCAATGATCTACAACACAAATACAGTCACTTATTACAAGGGTTGTTACGGTTACTAAAACTGAAACTAAAAATAAGCCAAAAATTGTTCCTTGAAATAAGACAAATGTTTACTGGGGGGAAAAAAAAGAAGAAAAAAAACCCTTTTATTTCAGCTTCTTGCCAAGGCAACATTTCTCATTTTAATTTAGTTTAATATGATACATTGTTTTTGAAAAAACTATACAGGACTTGCGTAAAAAAAAAAAGCCCTACTAACAACAAAATTACAAACAACAAAAGTAAAAAGAAAACGGAAAATATAAAACTAAAAACTGATTCAAAATATGAAAAAAAAACATAACTGCTTATTACGTGACAGACTGCACATAGCAACTTACAGCAAAAACCTGTTCTTTATATATTATTGTTATAATTCTGACAATGTAGTTAAGCACATTTTTTTGCTAATTAAAAAAATCTGAGCGCAAAACATCAAATTAGAATCATCAAAAATGTGTTTAATCACATACAAAGTATTTTGCTAATTAAAAAGCGTGATTCTTAATCATTATTTTTATATTTTTTAAATATAATTTCAATTGTAATTTTTTTATTTATTTATTTTACACCAAGACTAATACATCAACAAAATGTAATATCTCCAATCTGCTCTGAGTCCTGGAGATTTATGTTGTAATGAGCAATTCTGTCCAGCAGGTGGCTCAGTCTCGTTCAGTATTAGGTAACAAGATTTTGTGAGAGAAACTGAGACCCATAGAGGGAGTCTGGTTTCTCTGGGATCTCTGTGTCTTTACAACTGTCTGCTGTAGCGTTCAGAGGAATGTCACCCAATTAGATTCAAGCTGCGTTATAAAGGGGAAGAAATTAAGTTTGTTCTGTATGATCTGTTGGCGTATTGAGTTCTCTACACTACTTCCTGTCTCTCCTTTCTCGTCATCAGCTGTCTGACACCTTAGGTATGCAGAAAGCCCTTCAGCGCATCAGCATGACAAATATCATGCATGGTTAAAGTCATGTGCCTCAGGGTTTTATCCGTCATTATACAAACCTGTTACACAACACCATGTTGTGTGTTTGTTTTTATAGAATCACCACTAGACACATGCTCATAGGAAGCGATTACTTATCCTAAATGTAATCTTTTTCCATATGCTAATCAAAATAATCTCTTAAAACACAATAGTTTTAGAAACCATGTTTAGTTAAAGTAAATGCTGAACACAGTTGTCCACAGTCCCAATCCACTGCCAGTGTATGAAAAAAGAAAGCCAAATGGGTTTGGAAAAACAATGAGTGTGACAAACATATAACAGTTTTCATTTGATTAGACCTTTAATGGTTTATTATCCGAATGAACTCCTGCATTGAGGAGTGCAGCAAAGAGTCACCTGGTCAGAAATAATACAGTCCATTCATAGAGGAGTTTCACGCTAGATAGTGCATTATAACACAGTATAGTTTTGTCGATTTGTGAGTGCAGTCTCAGTAAGGGACTGTGGACAACGAGCCCTCGAGGGTGCAGTAATCTTATCGAAGCAATTATTTATAGAGAGGGTCTGCGTCAGACCCACACCCACACACGTTACTCCTATTAAGGCCTCAGCACAGCCCTGTCTCATGTGCTAAAACTATTGTTACAACCATCAGAAATGCAAACAGTGAAAGCAAACACACCATTCTTTGCCAGAGGCCAGTATGTAGAGTCTAGTGGTATTTAAGTAGTTGAAACACTGTCTATGATAATAAAACTCTGGCCGATAACAATAG